ACTAAACAACTCTAATTATTATTTATATATTATGATCTTCATATTATATATATATATATATATATGTATATATATATATATATATACACATGTGTACAATATATGTTCTTATGAAAAACGCGCGCCGTTATAGCATATAAATAATAAGTATCTCACGCTATGTCTTATTATATATAGCGCCGCGAAACACATACTTTATATACCATATATCTCCAGATACGTCTAATAAATAACAATGTTAAAAAATTTACACATACATAATTTAATAAATCTACATATATATATAGCATTTTATTATTATATAGGTAAATTAATATATAAAGTATATATATATTATATAACATATATACTTTTGTTATATATATTTACCTACATATAGAACTATTATAGTTTCTATTTATTTAAAATCATGGTTATACATAAACAAATATTAAATATTAATTGACCGCGAAAGTTTTAAACTAAAAGAATGCTGGTCAAAGCTGGATCTAGGAAGCTTCTAATATAATTATCGTGTGAATTTGTATACTATGTATTGTATACGTAGTTATTTATTTGGTTTGCATTTTATAAAATCCAAAAAATTTCAGCGCGCAGTTTTAAGATCGCTACATGGTATATATATACATATATATATTATAAACATGGAAATGGCATTGTAAGAGTCAAACGAAAAATAAATTAACAACAAATTAATACATATATTCTAAAATGAACTTATAAAATTTACATAAATGTAACGATTAAAAAACAGATGTTAATTACATTACTAGTTTCGACCACCAAATCTGGTCCTCTTCAGATGAAACACTTTACGTTGAAATGTACATAATTATGGAAAAACATCAATACATAAGAAAATCTTGTGCGTAGTTAAATATATAACAAAAAAATTTACAAGTCTATACGTGAGAATATTAGTTGGTCCGTGTATCCATATATTTACAAAAATAGTCATAATGATAAATGTCACACAATAAGAAAACAGTAAAAAAATTTTTTCTTTAAAAAAACTTATGTCAGAAATATTACAAAACTATCGAAGTACATCTTGAGATAAAAAGTTATACATGGAACACGTCAAACATCCTCAACGGACCAATTCCGACTGAATACATATATATATTCACACGATAATTATATTAGAAGCTTCCTAGATCCAGCTTTGACCAGCATTATATATATGTGGTTAACTACGGTAGGAGATCGCAGGATCGCTATGGGGATCGGAGAATCGCTTAGGTCCACAAATAAATATCGAACCGATTATAAAATAAAAGGCTCTTTATTCAGCTCTTACATCAGTTAATAATATTTGGGCGTGATGCGCTAGATTCACATAGGGTCCGTGCAAAGACTTCAGGGTGCCTTTCGGCGCCCGTTTGTGGAGGATTTTTGTGGGGTGCCTTTCGGCACCCGCAGGAGGGATTTACTCTTCCGATGAGTCGGACCCAAAGAGTTCCCTCAGTTGTAGGCGCTTGGCCTTGCTCAGGCGCCCCGGTGTTCGGGGGCGCTTCCTCGGCGTCCTGGGCAGCGGGCTGATAAGCTCAGGCGGCGGAGATGGCCGCGGCGGAGATCTCAATGGCAGGCCGGCCTGGCTTGCCACCGATGCCGATGTCACTGGCTGCGGCAGAGGTTGCTCGTCGGTCTGCGTGGCCGTCGACCTGGTGGACACTCGTTGCCTCCGAGGATCCCGGGGAGCCTTCTCCGGGCTGCCCTCCAGCAGCGTCAGCTGCCAAGGGAGAAAGGAGATCCCTGCGTCCAGTGGTCTCTCCGTAACAGGGGAGTCCGTCGGCCGTGCTGGTTGTCGCTGCGGCTGGTATGCGACACCCTTCCTCGCGGTCAGGATGCCCGGAGGACCTGGAGGGCCCCGTTTCCGTCGTCGCGGCAGTCTGGCGGCTCCTATGTCCCTGCGGTCGATGAAGGCGATGGAGGGCTCCCGAGAGAGCTTACCCTCGTAGTGCAGTGGTTTGCACTGTAAGACCGAGGCCTGAAAAATGTGCTCGCCCTAGAGGCCTGTAAGAAGGCGCACTCTGAACGTCAGAGGCCTTGTGTTTTACCACAGGCACGCTCTGGAGGTACGTTGGATCAACTCCACACTAGTTAGAGGCCCTGAGAGCTCCTCTTCACTGCGTAGGAAGATCTGCTGGGTGGTCTCGTTGCTTCGTATATATCCCCGTGCGGGATACTCTTACACACGGGCGAACGCTCGACTGCGTGGCCCTCACGCGGCGGCGGTCGTAACTCCCGCCGGGCGGTATAGGCGCCAGGCGCTCGGCTAGCGCCGGCGCTCGCGCCTCAGGGGCGGCGCGCTCGCGTCTCGCCTACTGATATTGTGGCGGAAGGGCCGCCACATATAATATACAGGGAGGGGCATTTAAAACAGGTCACCTGAATAACTCGCTTGTTTTTGACAATAGAAGAAAAAGTGTCAAACAAAAGTTGCTTGGTTTCGAGAGACATAATATGATGTCAATAATTGTTTTTTTGGTGGAGGCGCTAAAAAGATATGAAGGTCACCTCCATTTTTTTAAATGAAATTATGTAATTTTTGTTAGATAACGTGATTCCTCTAATTATTTTGCATATAAAAGTATTAAGGTAGAGATACCAAAAAACCAATAGTTTTCGAGATATTTTACACTTTATTTTGATACATATTGACACAAAATGTTAAATAAATCGTAAACTGTTGACTTTTTGATTATGTACCTTAATACTTTTGTGAACAGAATAATGAGATAAATCAAATGGTGTAAAGAAAACACATAGTTGCTTTAAAAAAAATATGTATAAAAAATGGATAATTTTTTAAATACGCAACTATGTGTTTTCTTTACACCATTTGATTTATCTCATTATTCTGTTCACAAAAGTATTAAGGTACGATAATCAAAAAGTCAACAGTTTACGAGTTATTTAACATTTTGTGTCAGTATGTATCAAAATAAAGTGTAAAATATCTCGAAACGAGGGGTCAACCACTATGGGAATCACTGTACATTTTTTAAGAAATATATTGCGGCAATAGAGTAATAGAGGTCTATAGTTAGTCATGTTAATTCTCGCAAGTGCCGAATTACATGATTATTTGTTTATATAGAACTTCTTTCTAACATCTCTCCCAGGCGTCTAAGGTAGGCTCCCACTACATTACCTTACTGATGAGTCCAGTAGTGGAAGCCGGGACGAAACGCCAACTCGTGATATTCTTCACAATTCTTTATTTTCTTAGATTCAGATTTATTTCTACTTTAATATTATAATTTAAGAATTTAATATGTCTTTCAACATATTATTAAGATCCATTTTAGATGCTAAATGCATCAAAAAAATAATTGTGATATTACTACGGTAGTTGATTAGAGTTGCGTTTTAAGTTCGACGAACGTTCGGCGCGCAATGGGGGGGGTAACTACTTACGTAGTATATAATATTCACATTTTAACATATCTTATATATCGCACCAATAACAGCTGAAAGGACTCTCTATTAGCCTTATTATTCTTGTTATATGACACGAATGAATCTTCATCGATTTCGTCTCCATCAATCGTTACTCAATGTACTCAAATTAATAGTTCTTCTAAGATTTTTTTGTCAACTGCTATTGTCGATGCATATGATTCCGAGAATCAAACACATGGTTGCAGAATTTTATTAGATAGCGGCTCTCAATTAAATTTCATCACTGAAGGCTTCGTAAAAAAAACTCCAACTTGAAAGCCGCGCTTTTCACATCTCAATTTCCGGAGTAGTAGAAGGAAAGTTTGAATCAAGAAAGATAGTCAATGTTAACTTTCGATCAAGAGTAAACGCGTATAGTATTAGTGTCGAGTGCGTAGTTCTTCCAAACATTACACAAAAGTTACCACAGGAATTTTGTTCTGTATCTGAATTTAAAATCCCATCAAACATAATACTTGCTGATCCTAATTTTAACATTCCGAGTGAGATCGACATGCTCATAGGAGCGCAATTATTTTGGCAACTTATTTGCGTCGGACAAATCAAGGCATGTAAGGCTCATCCTACTATACATAAAACCAAGCTAGGCTGGGTAATCTCCGCCGTATCACACAATAATTCTTCGAATGTGGCAATGGCCGCATGCCATCTTACAGCAGTAGATAAATTGAACGAGTCCATTTCTAAGTTTTGGAAGATTGAGAATGACTTCTCATTGCCTAATACCACTTACACTACCAATAAACAAATATGTGAAACGCATTTTCAGCAAAATACTCGGCGCAATGTAGAAGGTCGTTTTGTAGTAAAGCTGCCCACAAACAATGAAAAACTTTCACAGTTAGGTGAATCGAAGGGAATCGCTAGGGGTCGGTTTTTTAACTTAGATAGGCGCTTATTAGCTCAGCCCGCGGTCTATACAAAATATAAGGATTTCATGCGGGAATATATCGATTTAGGACACATGCGTGAGGTGAAAGATCATTTGAACGAACAAGCTCTTAGTATTTGCCGCATCATGCAGATTTAAAGGAGAGTAGCATTACAACAAAATTAAGAGTAGTATTCGACGCTTCATGCAAAACCACATCAGGGTTATCATTGAATGACACGCTTTCAGCTGGTCCAACTATTCAGGACGATTTATTTTCCCTTTTAGCACGCTTTCGTAATTTCGAATATGTAGTGACTGCCGATATTCGTAAGATGTATAGGCAGATTCTAGCCGATGAATCTCAAAGGCATCTTCAGCGTATTTTCTGGCGTAGCTTACCGCAAGATGATTTAAAGGTCTTCGAACTTTTGACGCTCACACGTATGGAACAGTACCTGCATCATTTTTAGCGATTAGAACCATTCGAAAACTCGCAGAGGATGAAATAGAATCATTTCCCATTGGATCAAAAATAGTACTACGTGACTTTTACGTAGATGATTTGCTCACAGGAGCATCTACACTTCAAGAGGCATCTGAAATCAAGAGATTTTTTAAAAATGCAGCGTTTGCAAATATGCAGCTGCAACAATTTTGCAAAAGACACGTACGGTGATGAAATCATCAGTGTAATTCAATAATTTAAAAATGCAACGTTTTCAAAAATGCAGTTGCTAAGAAAGAATTTTGCACAATACAGATTTTAGACACGTAAGGTGATGAAATCATTAGTGTAATTCGATATTTAAAAATGCAACGTTCACAAGTTCTGTTTAAGATTTTTTGCAAAAGACACGTCCGGTGATGAGAGCAGTAATGTAATTTGATACAAATGCAACGTTGCCAAATTGCACATTTAATAGTTAAGAGATGCGACGTTGCCAAATAGATTGATATAAAACGTGAAGATTTAGACGCATCGTATCATTAGTCAATCAAGCGACATGGAGCGAGATTTCATAGAGCAAGCTACCCTGCTTAGTACCAGAGAAGAGTACGTCGCGTGGTAACAGCGATGCGACGAATTCATCGAATCTTTGGAAGAACAGAGTCGGATCAAACGACCGCGATTATCGATCGGTAATAGACAATCAGTGATCGCATGTATCGCGCGGCTCGAAAGTTTGAAGGATTCAGTGCGCGGACGATTCGTGCACGTGGGCGCCGGATATGAACTCCGATGGCGTGAGATCGAAACGGCGTTCGAAAGCCGTATTCTAACGGGCGCGGTGATAAACTAATCACAGCGACCCCCACCGATTCCTCGAAGACGCGAGTGAAATTGTGCTCGAGTGTGTACAGTGTATTGTGCGGAGATATGACTCTATAAAGATAAATACAGTATTTAATGGTGAATTCGTAGCGGGTGACAAACGCGCGAACAAGAGTATCGCCACCCGGAACTTTGAAATATATCGATGCACCGATCAGCGCGAGTGGTACGTGTCGCGCGTCGTCGAGCCAATCCTCGCATCGCTCGAAGAGTTTCAAGAACACGATAGCGGCTGGGCACTGTCGCGTATATTAAATTTAACAGTGAACGCGAATAAACTAAATCCTCTGCGCGCGGGATGTCACATCAAACTCTCGGAGAAAATTATGCTGAAGAGTGCCCAATGTGCAATCCAAAGACAATGCTTGTTTTGCATGGTCAGTGGTCGCCGCTCTGCATTCCGCCAAAAAAAATGTGGAACGGGAATCTTCGTATCCACACTACTCATCGGTACTAAATCTTACGGGTATTGAGTTCCCGATGACGTTGAGTCAAATTAAAAAATTTGAAAATCTCAACGACATTACCATCAACGTTTACGCCATCGAGGAGGGGATCGTACCGATACGACTCGCCGACCAAAAGAGGAGCAAGCACGTAAACCTCTTGTACGTGGAGGATGACATCGCGGGACACTTTGCGCTGATTAAAGACCTGTCACGCCTCGTCAGTTCACAAATCAACAAATATGGCCACAAGAAATACTTCTGCGGTAGGTATGTATAATTAATAATAATAATAATAATAAAAATAATAATGATAATAATAATAATAATAATAATAACAACAGTAATACTAACAATAATAATTTATTTTTATTCTTTTTTTTTTAGATGCCTGCATTACTTTAGCTCAAGCGACAAGTTGGAGACCCACAGCATGGATTGCGGGAAATTAAACGATTGTGCGAAAAGGCTATCGAGCGAGGACGACAAATGGTTCGAGTTCAAGAACCATTGCAGGAAGGAGCGCGTCCAGTTCGTAGTCTACGCCGATTTAGAGTGTGCATTGGAGAAGATGGATAAGGATCCAGCATCATCCACGTGCACGTACCAACATCACAACGTCTTCAGTATCGGGTATTACGTACACTGCTCTTATGACAACTCGCTGTCGGGCTATCGATTTCACCGCGATAAAGACTGGGTATCGTGGTTCGCGGACGAATTGAAAAATTTAGCACATAGTATACAGTCAATAATTTCGGCTAACATCCCTATGTCAGATTTCACGCGAGACGACTGGGAAAAATTTAATAACACCACGCACTGCCACGTATGCGAGAAACCGTTCGCGATAGACGATACGCGAGCACGCGATCACTGCCATCTTACCGGGCGATACAGAGGTCCAGCGCATTCTAATTGTAATTTAAATTATAAAGATTTGCGATGCATACCCGTAGTCTTTCATAATTTATCAGGCTACGACGCTCATTTTATCATCAAAGAAATTGCAACCGCGTACAACGGAAATATAGATTTATTACCAATAACTAAAGAAAAATATATTTCATTCACTAAACACGTTGATGATACTATAGATGATAAAAAAAATTGCATACAATTATGTTTCATAGATTCATACAGATTTCTCGCTTCAAGTTTAGACAAATTATCATCTTTTCTCAATAAAGATAAGCTGCGGGTACTGCGACGCGAATTTTCCCATTTATCGGAAGAAAATTTTAATCTTTTAACTCGAAAAGATGTCTTTCCATACAAATATATTGATTGCAGTGAAAAATTGAATGAATCGTGCTTGCCGTCTCGCAAGTCATTCTATAGTTCATTGATAGACGACACTGTATCCGAGAGCGATTATGCGCACGCTGTCAACGTGTGGCAGCGGTTCTCCATCCAAACGCTCGGTGAATATAGCGACCTGTATCTAAAAACAGATGTATTGTTGTTGGCAGACGTCTTTGAAAATTTCCGCGATAGTTGCGTCGCGAGTTACGGGCTCGACCCCGGCTACTATTACACCTTGCCTGGCTTCACATGGGATGCCATGTTGAAGCATACAGGTGTAAAATTTGAATTGCTTACAGACATTGACATGGTCATGTTTGTCGAGCGCGGTATACGCGGTGGTCTGATTGTGAGCCAGTGCTCAAACAGGTACGCGCGAGCCAACAACAAATACATGCCGTCGTATGATTCATTGAAACCATCATCGTATTTGATGTACTATGATGTCAACAACCTCTATGGCTGGGCAATGTGTCAACCATTACCATACGCCGACTTTCGATGGGTCGACGACGTGCAAAATTTCAACTTTTCGACCATCGCGCTAGATTCACCTACAAGCTATATTCTCGAGGTTGACATTGAGTACCCACAACATCTTCATGACGCGCACACTGACCTACCATTCTGTCCAACGCGCGAGAAACCACCCGGCAAGCGTGAGGATAAGCTCCTCGCGACGTTATGCGATAAGCAGCGTTATGTGATTCATTATCGCAACCTGCAGCAGTGTACTCGTCACGGCCTACGTATCGTAAAGGTTCACCGTATACTGCAATTCACGCAATCTCCATGGCTTCGCGATTATATAGAACTAAACACAAAATTTAGAACGTTAGCAAAGAATGATTTTGAGAAAAATTTATATAAACTTATGAATAACGCGGTATTTGGCAAAACCATGGAGAATGTGCGCGATCGCGTCGACGTAAAATTATTAACCAAATGGGAAGGCAGACACGGTGCTGAAGCAATGATCGCGAAACCCAACTTTCACAGTCGTTGCGTTTTCTCGGAGAATCTGGTCGCGATAGAACTGCGTAAGCTCGAGGTGACGTTCGACAAACCGATATACGTGGGTATGTGCATCCTCGATATATCGAAAACGTGTTTGTACGAATTTCATCACGAATATATGGCACCGCTGTTTCGCGAAAAATGTAAAATTATGTATACCGACACTGATAGCCTCATACATCATGTAGAATGTGATGATGTATATGAAATTATAAAACGTGATATAGATAGATTTGATACGAGTGATTACTCTATCGACAACGCGTATAGTATTCCGCTCGCGAATAAAAAAGTTCCTGGTCTTATGAAAAACGAGAACAACGGTGCCATCATGACTGAATTCGTCGGACTTAGAGCGAAAATGTACGCTTTACGTGTGCAAGGAAAGAAGGATACGAAAAAGACACAGGGTGTCAAAAGTAACGTTGTGGCCAGATCCATAACTTTAGATGATTACACGCGATGCTTAATCGACGCTATTGAAATGACGCGCAGACAATCGTGCAACAGATTGAAATTGCACGAGGTGTATACGATATCGAAAACAAAAATCTCTCTGAGTCCACACGATGATAAGCGGTATATCGTATTAGGTTCTACCGACACGCTCCCATGGGGACATTACCGGTGTAAATAAAACATATCTTGTATGAATAATAATATTTAATATGTATGTATAAAAATGTATAATATATGTAATATATAATATATATATTTATAAAGGTTATTTAATATACTTTAATGTATAATATATAATTTATATAACGTATAATTTTTATAATGTATAATTTATAATTTATAATACATTGTCTTTATGAATCCACGAATTGTGTGATTTGTCAAATCCCAACCATTTCACATAAACCTCGTTTCCCCTTTTGCGCAACACTTTTTCAACGAGATACACATCAGAATTAGCGACGCGATGCAATTCGTATTCGTAGAATCCTCCAGCTATGAGCTCTCCGCGGGAATCCTCCAGTAGATATGTCACTGGATTAGTCTGCTGCACTTTGATAATTTTAAAGACCTCCGTGGTCCAATTCGGTGTAAAACCTTTTTCAAATATTGTCTTGAATTTGCTTACGCGTACCGTATCGCCTACTTTGAATTTTGCGGGATCAGCGATCTTTATCGCACTATACACCGTGCCAAGGAGTCTTTCGGCGATCGCGGGAGTTACGTCAGCGGGTCGCATGTCGATAGTGTGATGCTTACGCACGTTGTAATCCGACACGAGACGCAGTAGCATTTCGATCCATTTATAGTTTCCGTTGTATGTAAACTGTTTCCACATATCATTCTTCAATGTACGATTGAATCGTTCGACGACCGATGCCTTCATTACGGAATACGTAGAATAATGATTGATATTGTGCTTCTTCAAGAGTTTCTGCACATCCGAGTTGTAAAATTCTTTCCTTTGTCAGTCTGCAAATTTTTCGGACATCTTCGGACATCTCGAATTATCTTCGCAATTGCCCGCGTCACCTCGTTCCCGCTCTTGGCTTTGAGCGGCATGGCCCATGCATGCTTACTTAGCACGTCGATGATAGTGAAAATGTAGTGATAACCTCTGTTGAAACGCGTGTACGGACGCATCTCGACTACATCCGCCTGCCATCACAGGTCATCGTATCCGTGTACTATGACGCGTCTTCGTGGAAAATTTCTTCTCGCCGGAGCGTGTAATTCCTCAACCAGCGATCGTTTTTCAGACATTCTTCGCTTCTCGAATCTTCTTTTCAAAATCATTTAATAATATAATTGTTATTCTGGAATGATGTTATCTTTCTTTCAATTTCATCAAGACGATCTTTCAAATCTTGAACACTCTGCTGCACATATCGTTTGTTTGCTCCGTCAGTATCATCCACTGGTAGAGCTAAACGTCGAATCTTACGCGACTTTGCGTCAAAGTCGGTTGCAACTCGACAAAGAGCGTTATCGCGCACGTAATTTCTGAACAACCCACGCCACTGATAGTGCGATTCACTTCTTCCTCCGAGCGACAATCCAAACTTGTTGATCGGAATTTCGATGTCGACTGATCGACGTGTATACATAATGATCAATTTATAATCAGTCCGGCTTCGAGTAGTTCTTCGATAATCGATAGAATCTCATTATCGTGGCCGTTGTGACCCGCCTGACGCGAGGCTTCGAGCAATCGGAGACGATCTACAAGTTCGTTGGAATCGTCCCAATGTACGTAATCAATCCTGTTATCGGTTAATGACATGGCGCACGGCAAATCAAATTTTTTCTTTATACCGGTCCCAACTTTTTTACTAGCACCAATGGTGCGATGATGTTCTTATACTTGTGTCCCTTGTTACCCAGTAATTGATTACCAGCATTATGACCACGCCGATAAGCATTTGTGGTCAACAGAATGCTCTTGTAAGTCTGTACGTCGTCATCAGTGCATATACTTTCGTTGGGAAATTTCATAAAGACCAATTCGTACATTCCCGGTGTTCCATCGTATCTTTTTCCATCTATAATTATGTCATCGTTTTTGTTCAAGGTGATATGTTTGTCACCGAGCATCGTTCCCTCGTCGCTAAAGTATACTCGATACACGACGTCTATGTAGACAGCTTTCTTACCGCTTAAGACCTCTTTCAGATATTTCTGTCCCAAAGGACATGCATGCATGTTTGCATGCAGTTTTTCTTGCCCCTCGGATGTTTGAAGCAGATGTCGGATGGATGTTACAAGCGGTTCATTGGCAATCTCGAATACTTCTTCGACGGATGGAGCGTGGTCGTACGATAACTCAGGCGATACTGTTATTTCAGACATTTCGTTCAAAGTGGATGGTACAGTTATCGATCTATTCAACGCTGATTTCACAGGCGTGGACGCCTGTATAGGACTATCGTACGAAGCATTCGGTCGTTTTCGCTTCGGTTTCGGTTCTTCGTCTTTCTCCGAAAAGAATGTTTCAACGTTGATGGGATCCTTCGGTGATTCAACTGTATCTTCGACTATTTGTTTCAACGGTTCGGTAATAGGTAAAGTGTCTCTCCAACGCGATCTCCTCCTCCATTTTACCAGTTTTCAAGGCGCGATACTTTTTACGAATTGAATCGCTCGTTTTCGCAATCTCCATGGCTATCTTCTCGTGATCTTTGTTGCTGTCCATGTTGCACAGTTAGCGTATCGATGACAACTGATCGCTTCACGGTACCGCAATTAAATCCTTTTCTGTATCGTCCATTAGCAAGCGCATTGTCCTTATCAATTTGAGAAATCCATACTTTTGCTGCCAACATTTACGACACAAATCGCAGAAATTCTAATACGACATGTCAGTATTTACATGATCGTTGTACACGCGTTTCAGGTTGGTATCATCCTGCTTAAACAGAATCAACAGATTTGTATTGTTACCTATAAGATGCTTCGGTATCTTTGCATAAGTCTGACAGAGATAGAAGCAGTCAACGTTCGCGTGGTGACCCATTACAAAATAATCTCTTATCGCGTCTTGCTTGTCGCATGCCACGTCATCAAAGATAAAGATTTAATTCGGAAGCGCCTCGCTCGGTGGAATGATCTCGCTGTTGTTGGAAAATGTAAAATAATTTATTTCTTCGATCGGTGCTAATAAATTTTCGAGATATCGATACTTTGGCTGTTGCAGAGATTTCGAGTAGACGTATACATTCTCGAAGCGTACGCCGTTTGGGCTCTCGAGCAAGCTTATGAGAACGTTGGTTTTACCGCAGTTCGACGGGCCGCAAATGATTGCGCGAATAGAACTCGGCAGCATGTTGCCATGCTTGCGCATCACTTTATTGATTTGCACTTTACCGTCGAGATTCGTCACTTTGATAGACTGCGACTGGTGCACGAACCGCATATTTTCTTGTTTCACAAGAAACTGGAAAAGATGTCGCGAGCGGGCCTATTTATAGAGCTACGTAGAGCGTAATCGCTCAGTAATCAAAATGTTTCTCATCGTGTCGAATGATTTAACCTCCAAAAACTTGAAATACATACCGAAAATTGTTCTACTGAGAGTTTGAGAATTGTATAGATCTGCTGTGGGATAGACTACCTGAGCATATACGAGCCGATTCGGAGGTACAACGACACCGTCGGTGTCTGAAGCATTACAATTTGCCGAGTCATCAAACGAATATCGACGGTCCAGCGCCGTTGATAAAGAATTGTAGCGAATGCCGTCGAGAGGCAGAGGTTTGTTAAATAAAGCGATAAACGCGCTTTCTTGCACATTCCCGGTTACCAGTTTTGTGGACCGGGGACGCGTTTGGAGAAACGATTAGCTAGAGGCGACAGAGGTATTAACCCATTGGACACGGCGTGTCGCGAACACGATATAGCGTATTCGCACAGAAACGATCTCACTGAACGGCACGCGGCTGATAATATACTCGCTGAAAAGGCGCGGAAACGCATTACCGCGAGAGATTCGTCTCTCAAAGAAAGAGCCGCCGCCACAGCTGTTTGGGCGGCTATGAAGGCTAAAACAAAGATGGGTATGGGCTTGAAAAAGCTTAAAAAGAGAAAGAGGATACTTCCGATTGCGAAACGTGGCGGTATTCTGCCTGTTCTTCCGCTACTGGGCGCCCTCGGGTCGTTGGTCGGTGGAGCGGCGGGAGTCACCAAGGCTGTAAATGATAGCAGAGCAGCGAAGCGTCAGCTGGAAGAAATGCAACGTCATAATCGCGTCATGGAAGGTCACGGTGTTTATCTCGCTCCCTACAAGCGTGGACGAGGAGTAGTAAAGAGAAAAAAAAACGTCGATGAGACGTTAAAAATATCAACG